AAATGTGTGATTTAAGTGTGGTGTCGAGCTTGAAAACTGCGTGCACTGTTGTAGGCAGCGATGAAACTTTCCCAGGAAATTTTTCGCTACAATTGTTTCCCATTTCGAGACTTTGAAATTTTTGATTGAATGGAAAACGCATGGACATTAAATCTTGTTTTGTGGTTTTTCTCTTAGTGCATGGTTACCAAGCATTTTGTTCGTGACCTGCGGCGTGTCGTGTAAAGGCAGGCGCAGCATTGTTTATGACTGACTCTACTGCGCAGCCTGCCTTGCTTCAGGTTATTGCTTTATTGTAGAATCAGGTCACGGTCATTTACATTTAAACCTGATACCGTGACAATTGTTAATCTATGTCGGATGAATGTAACGTAACATTGTTGAAGCGCTAACAGATTGTTACATGGGTTGATTTATAAGCAACACGAACCTTGCATACGACGGCTGCTCCTGCTGTCCGAGCGGCAATCAAAACGGAGCTGTCCGACCAAAATGACACGATAATATTCCTTTTCTTTCCAGCTAACAAAAATAAAGGCAATCGTTAAGTTGCTTTGGCCTCTTCTAATAGTTAATTTGAGAATGCTGAGTTTATTTTCACGAGGGACGGCATATTTTGTTTAAAATAACACAACTGTTATCCTACCTGGCGACACTTGACGAACGACGAGCGACTTGTCATGCCGGACGCCGGCGATCCATTTTTGGCGCCAAATTAGCACTCGGAGACACAAAATGTTTCATATTTTTCTCTTTGTACAATCTTATATAGTTTTTACAACTGTAAATCCCTTTTCGTGAATATTAAATGCCATCTCCAGCGAGAAAAGCTGCCTGATTTTAATACTACTCCTGTTAATTTACATTGACGTGAGGACAGTAAAGCTTTTCCCACATGTTGAATCCTGATTGGTCAATTCAAATTTCAGGCGCGCCAGCCGTATGCAAGGAAGCCACCTCAACAAAGAAGATCGGTCTAACGATGTCGCGTTAGAAATCATTTGCGTGACAGAACGTTTAACGATAGCCTTGATGTCGGGTTGGGTAATGTCTGCTAATGAGATGTGCAGATTAGCGGAGTTTGAGTTTCAAGACCGGCGGTGTGTGACGTACTCGGTGGAACACTGGCACGAGTGACGAGCAGCTTGATATCTCTTTGCACGTCACACGCGTGTTTCGATCTACAGAGCACCGTGCGCGCGAGCCTTCCGTTCTGCCGGCTTCAACAAATTCAATTGTCGTTTTTAAATAGAAAAGTTGGCCATAAGAAGAGGGCAGTCCATTAGTGGGTAATCATAATCGTAAAACAAAGTAATTTTCTCAGGTTCGTCAGGCGGTAAAGTGCCAAGAAATCCAAAATCCTTCAGCTTCATACTTGACGCCATTTCCTGTTTTTCTTCCCGTTCTTTGGATTGATAAATTCTTATGTTTAACGTGCATGGTCCCAATTCCCGCTTGACAATCAGCGTTATTCCATATACGGAGATGTTCGAAGGGACCTGGACACTAATGGGACTAGGAATTGAAGTGACATCTTGCATGGAGATACTGCACAAGTCCAGCATGATGTAACTGCAGAAAAGACAACAACTCGTAAGAATATAAGAATTCGATTATTGCCCGGGGGTGGGGGGAAGGGGTAATTAAATTACGGCTTCTAGCGAGAACGATAATTGGAGACAGGGCGCTTGATGTGCTCTACCAGGAGCCCATAGCTCTACTGAACTC